GAACTCTCGGACCAGCAGAGGCAGAACGACCGTCGGCAGAACACTCAACAGCAGCACCCCCAGAACCAACACCCCAAGAGCGAGAACCCCCTCCAACACCAGCGGCACCCCCAGAAGCCGCAGGACGAACACCCTCCTCCACACCAGCACCCCCAGGGGCCGAGAGCAGCGGCGGCAGTGGCGGCGACAGCGGCGACGGCTGCGGCGGCGACGGCGACGGCGGCGGCAGCGGGGTCGGCGACTGCGACAGTGGGGGCGGAGGCACTGGGGAAGGGGGACGCGGCAAGGACGGACCGGGGGTACCACCAGAGTCAGCAGACTCCTCAACGGGGACAACCGACGGGAGGGGAGTGACGTGGGAGACACCAGACGGGGCAGGACGAGGCGGGAGAGGGGCAGGGGCTACCGGGGGAGAGGGAGCAAGGAAAAGGGGGGGGGCAACTGGGAGACCTCGGTGAGGGAAGCGGCGGTAGAAGGAGACGGACTCGTCAAAGGTGACGTCACGAGAGTGGAGGAAGCGGTGAGACGGCGGGTGGTAGAAAAGCCAGTCAGACGAGTCCAGGGGGAAACCGAGGAAGACACAGGGGACAGTGCGGGCAGTGAGCTTGTCCGTGCCAGAGGCACGAACGTGAGCAAGGCAGCCCCAGACGTGGAACGCAGACGCGTCACCGGGGGACCCGGTCCAAAGGAGGGTCGGCGAAACCTGCGGCCGCTGGGAGCGTGGCCACAGGTTAAGCTGGTGAGCCGCGTAGCGAACAGCGAACGGCCACAGAAAATGGGGGGCATCGGCATGGATCATGGAGGTACGGGCGACCTCCATGACCAAGCCGATGCGGCGCTCAGCAACCCCATTCTGCTGTGGCGAGTCCGGCAAGGTGTACGACTGAGTGATGCCCTCCGCACGACAGAACTGTCCAAGCCGACCAGAGGCGAACTCGCCGCCACGGTCGGAGTGGAGACACAACACGGGGAGACCGCGGTGGAGACGCGCAGCTACAACCCACGGGAGAAGAACGTCGGGCACGTCGGCCTTCCGCTCCAGGGGAAACACCGTGGTGTAGCGCGTGTAGTCGTCAACGAGCACAAGGAAGTAGCGCTCACCGCGCGGTCCGGGGACGGGGGCAGGGCCCCAAACGTCCAAGTGCAGGGTCTGAAGGGGGGCAGTAGCAGGACGCAGCGAGGAGGAGTGAGGAGCACGGCGGAGCCGACCCTCGACGCAAGGCGTGCACGGTGGCGCAGTCGAGGGAGGAAGGGCAGGGAGCGACGCGGGGAGACCTAAGACAAGACCGTGCTGGGACATGTGACGCAGACGCGGGAGAGCAGGGTGACCTAAGCGGTGGTGCCAGAGAAGGGAGGGGTGAGTGAGGGACCGACACGAGCAAGCTGCAGCGACCTGGGAGGACGCACCAACCGGGGGGGAAGCGGTGTGTAGGGTAAACAGACCGGACACCGGGTCCCGGGGGAACGTCGCAAGGGGGGAACCTGAGACAGCCTCAGAACAGACAGCGAACCGCTCGTGCCCGGGGAACGTGGTGGTGACGCCGAGGTCCTGGAGACAGCCGACACCAACCAGGTTCCTGGAGAACGAGGGAACGTGGAGGCCAGTAAGGGAGCCCGAGGGAACTGCCGGACAGGGAAGGGACGTAGAACTGCGCGCGACGACCGGACCCGCAGAGGGGTCAGCGAGAGAGACAACAGCAGGTGCAGCAAGCGGCGTGAGCGTGGAACGGTCGCGGAAGAAGCAGGCAGAAGCACCAGAGTCGAGAGTGAAGGACAGCGACGCAGTGGCGGAGGCCGCGGACGGAGCCGGTGCAGCGACTAGACTAGGCAACCTAGGCAGTCCTACGCCTGTCGCAGCAGGGGAAGCTAAGCTACACAAGGGTGAAACACCTAAACTAGAGTACACATGGTAGTAAGATCCATCAACACTAGAAGCGTCAGCATACAAAGCATGCAAAGCAGCACCTATCTGATCCATGTCTAACTCAAAGATCGGCACGCCCTGGCGGAGCAGGCTGTGCCAGTCAGGGAGGTCCGGGGCCGGGCCAAAGCGACGACGAAAAAGATCGTCGAGGCGGCGGAAACAGTGGGCGGTCGGGTGCGGGCGGCGGCACAGAGTGCCGCGGAGAGGCCCGGTCTGAAGCTGGTACTGGCAGGTCACAGCACTGGAGCCGCTGGTAGACGCCAAGCTGCGCGGGCCGCCACCACGGCCACCGCCTCCGGAGGTGCCGGGCCAACCAGGCGGGAGACGAGCCCACGGCTGCGGCGGGTGCTGCTGGGACGGCGGCTGCGGCTGGGGCTGGTCCTGCTGCTGCTGGGACTGCTGCTGCTGGGACTGCTGCTCCTGCCCACCGGTGGTAGTCCCCTCAGGCGGACTACCGTCACCACCACCACGACCACTACCACCTGCGTCACCACCCCTACCTCCCTGGCGGCCACGGCCACCGCGACGCGAGCGCTGCTGCGGGTGGACAGCAGCAGCCGTCTCGGTAAGAGGGGTCGCCGTGGCGACCGCAGCCGAAACGTCAGTGAACGTGCACGGGGATGGGGCACAACCGTGAAAGATAGAGACTGCCGGCGCACCGCTCGACTGAGCGATAGTGCGCTGGCGAGTCTCGATCTCAGTGAGGGTGTCGACAAAGGCGGTCAGGGTGAGGTCACCCGGGTGCTGGCTAAGAAAGTGGTCGCGAGCACTAGCGAGGCGGTCTGGCAGGCGCATAGCGATAAAATAGAGCGTCATGCAGAAAGGAGGGGGGAGCGCAGTGAGCTGGGCAGCAGTGCTGGCAGTGCGATAGCGAGTCTCTAGGGCACGCAAATGAGTGGCAAAATCTGCGACAGTAGGGAAGGCAGCCAGGTCTGGGAACAGCATCGGAAAGAGCAAGCGGCCAGCAGAAGCGGAGGCAGGGGTGGAATAGCGAGCAATAACGGCTTCTAAATAAGCTTTGGCCGTTTCAACAGTAGCAAAACGCGAGCGCTCAGACACAGGGAGGGCGTGACTAATAGCAACCTGAGCTACTGCATCGCGTGAGTCCCAGACCGCACAGGCTAGCGCAGCAGTAGAGAAAGCCTCACGGTCATCAGAGGAGGGGTCAGCAGGGAGGGGAGTAGGTGCAGGGGGACGGGGGAGCAAGCCATCAGCATGGACAACCAGAGAGTGGCCATCCTGGCGCTGACCTGTAAGCTGGCGGCGAAGATCGGAGAGCCAGGCGGCGAAGTCAACCGCGTGGCCCTCAGCGTCCAGGCGGAGCACAAAGTCAGCCATCGTGCAGGGTCAGCGGCACAGCTCCTCAGCGACACAGCGGCACAGCAGCACAGCTCCTCAGCGGCACAGGAGCACAGCGGCGCGGGGACACGGCGGCAGCACTCTCCAGTAGGGCAGCAGCTAGGCGTCCCAGCGCAGGCAAGCAGAAGACACAGGGCCCGAGAGGACACGGCAGGCCGAGCAGGGGAGGCGGGCAGGTGCTCTAGGGCCGGGCTGGTGCTGGGAGGGGCCAGGCTGGTGCTGCTAGGGCCGGTCGGGCACGAGGAGGGGCCGGGCAGCGCTGAGGAGAGGCCGGGCGGCGCTAGGAAGGGGCCGGGCGGCACTAGGAGGAGGCCGGGCGGCACTAGGAGGAGGCCGGGCGGCACTAGGAGGAGGCCGAGCGGCACTAGGAGGAGGCCAGGCGGGCGAGCGCTAACAGCAGGCGCGACAGGGGCCAGCGGGCGCGACGGGGCCTAAGGGGCGCGACGGGGCCCAGCGGGCACGACGGGGCCCAGAGGGGGCGCGACGGGGCCGAGGAGGCGCGACGGGGACCAGCGGGCACGACGGGGACCAGGGGGGCCGCGACGGGGCCTAACGGGCGCGACGGGGCCCAGGGGGGGCGCGACGGGGCCTAGCAGGCGCGACGGGGCCTAGGAAGCGCGAAGGGGCCCAGCGGGCACGACGGGGCCTAGGAGGGGCGCGACGGGGCCGAACGGGCGCGACGGGGCCCAGAGGGGGGGGACGCGATGGGGCTTAGGAGGCGCGACGATGCCTAGGAGGCACGACGGGGCTCAGCGGGCTCGACGGGGCCCATGGGGGGCGCGACGGGGCCTAGGAGGCGCAACGGGGCCCAGCGGGGGCGCGTTAGGGCCTAGGGGTCGCGACGGGACCCAGTGGGCGCGACGGGGCCCAGGGGGAGCGCGACGGGGCCTAGGAGGCGCGACGGGCCCAGCGGGCACGACGGGGCCCAGGGGGGGCGCGACGGGGCCTAGGGGGCGCGACGGGGCCTAGGAGGCGCGACGGGCGGAAGCGGTAGGCGGGGGGATCCTAACCTAAGCGTGATACCATGTTAACGTAGAAACGAATGATTACAAGAGGTGGAAACCTAGAACAAATACTAGTTGGTTGTACTCACTAGAAGCATACCTCAGTCTAGCCTATAACTTCTACATAGATAATATGTATAAGTTGACAATACTACCCTACTGAAATCAGCCTTTGTGATTAGCCTATGTTCACTTACGATTTTGTGGCTCCCTTCAAAGTCCTTACCACACCCTCTGCCTTACAGCAATATTATATGCAGCGTGACTAACCTACCTATTGTTCACTTATCAGTTAGGTTTTGTGTTATACTTCAAACTATTTGACAAACAACCTCTTGCGGCTGGCAATATTATTTGATGTCAATCATAGGAATGAGTATAACCATGATTTATGACAAGGAACTAGGAGAAATAGCATGAACGGATGGGATTTTTAGTCATTCATTGATATGTTGCTTTTTGATGTTGAACTTCAGTGGGTTACAGCAGGCAAGCATACACAAAGTCACAACGAAACCAAAATTGAACAAAAGCGTACATAGGTTCAAACGAGTATACATTGCCCAACCCACCATCCCACTGAATGTTTTACGTGTACCATTTTTTTGTGAGGACACCAAACAATTTCAGACTGAACCGCTTTGAATCGCTTTGATAGACCGACGATAACCGCACAAACGGGAAGCCTTCACACCGCCACTATGCACTTCATGCCCTGACACAGCCAACCTAGTAGTAGTCATCTGTCATGGTTGATCGACCTGATTAGTGCATGCTGGTCCACGTCACATCGCCATTGTTTATCGACTCAGTTCTCCGCTGATCGCGTCTGCTTTTTCTCCTTGGTTTCAGCAATTTCTCCTCCAATTGCGTGTCCGCGGAATTCCCGCATCCATGCTGCGCATTGTCTTGACATGCGGACTTACGGCGAGCAGCTGCGGATAGTTCGGCGGGAGTTCCGCGCGGATTTGTCGAATGATAGTCTTCGCCGGCTCCCCAGGCAGCTGATGCCATCCTTCCTGGCACCTTTCGCCGCGTTTCTCGGCGCGTTTCTCGCAACAGCATTACTAGGAACCCTCGTGTTTGTGCCTCACGCGTTAGATGGATTGCCGTCCGGCGGTAATGGCGGAATTCTGGGAGCGGCGATTCGGGGAACCACGATACAAGCTGCCTCGAGGTACTTCCGAAAGCGTTATGCTGCTTTAATACCTTCAACCCACAAAGTACCACTGATCAATTATAGTGATGTTGATATGTGAGCATCCCAACTCTCTCTTGTTCCTGTGCTGTGCTAACGCTATACATTTCCTACCTTCCCCTCTCCACCCCTTCCCTTTCCCGCCTTTCCCGCCTCCTCCGCCCATCCGCTGCCCTCTTTGCACCCTCTCCTCCATGTGCCACTTTCGCAAAAAAATTTCCCCTTACCCTCCGCCCCACTTTCCCCCCCACCCCCCCTTCCCCTTCCGCTCTCCCCCGCGTCCCCCTTTCCCCCCCCACCCCCCCCTCCCTCCTTCTTTCCCCTTATCACTTGGACAGGTGGGAGGAGCAGCAGAGGTGCCTGGAAGAGCTTCAGAGTTTAAGGAGATGGTATTCAGGTGAGGAGGAGAAGGGGAAAAGGCGATGAAACCAACCAAGGGCGACTTCTTACATCTCGTGTCAAGATCCTCGTGTCAGGATCTTCTTAGGAACCTCGTGTCAGGTGGCCATTTCGCCCTAGCACCTTGTGTCAAGTGGCTCGACACGAGCGGTTGACACGGGTTGGATACGCGCCCTAACATGTGGGAGGTAGGTAGGGAGGGAGGGGAAGAGGGCGGGAAGGTACAGACTGAACGAAGAGGGGTGAGGGGGTGGAGGGAAGAGTGGGGGGTTGGTTTGGGGGGCCAGAGAGTGGGGAGGAGGGAGTGAGGGAGGATGCACTTGAGAGGAAGTGATAGAGGGAGACCGGAACCTTCCATCACGGCTTGTGCCTTTGCCTTGCCATCTAGGTTTCGGGGTCACAAACGGCTCAAACGAGGAAAACCTTGCGTGCATTGTCCATGCATCCATACTCTTTAGCAGTCTCAAAAGAAAGGGGAGAAGAGAGGGACCTGGGCCTTGTCATGGCTTTAACTCATGGTTTATGACGTGCTGCCTGCGTCGTTCTATCCCTTCCTCCTGCCTTTCTGTATCAGTTCCGGTGGCTACTTTTGTTTCTGTTGCTTCCTGTTGACATGTGCTCCCAATATGACGTCATCCTTTTGCGTTCTATCTCCTCTGTGCAGAGACTGGAGCTGACGCAGCATTTGCCAGCTCAGCGGTTCAACCCTATCGCTCCATGTCATCTGCCAGCTCAGCTGCGGTTTCCAGTACCTTTGCCAGCTCAGCTGCCAAGAACCTGCGCGCAGCCACTCGTTCCCTGCTCAGTATAGAGGAGAGAAGAGATTCCGGTTTTGGCAGCAGCAGCACCAGCAGCATAAGCAATCAGCTACTCCCACCCCCAGCAGCATCAGCAGCAGCAGAGTCCGCCTCTGTGCGTCGAGTGCTGACTCGCACCTTCACCAGTCCCAACCTCAACCCCAATGCGGCCTGCGCCGAGAATGAGACAAGCGGTGCCGCCCTCAGGGCCCACCTGGCGGCCAAGGCAGTGGAGCTGAGGGCGACTCAAGTGCGGATAGAGGAGATGCAGGTAAACCCGAAACCCTAAGTTGGATTTTCTACACCGAATACTCGAATTCTTAAACCCTCAACCCCTTGAGAGACCATCCACCCAAGTGCAGTGGAGCTGATGGCGACTCAAGTTCAGGTAGAGGAGATGCAGGTAAGAGGGTTATGAGGAGGTTAAAGCTGAACCCCTTAGACCCTTAACCCCTTGGAGCTTTCAAGCCTCAGCCTAGTCCCACCAGGCAGCCAAGGCAGTGGCTGAGGGCGACTCAAGTCCAGATAGAGGAGATGCAGGTGAGGGGAGGGGGCCCACGGGCAGGTAGGTCCTAAAGCTTGGAAGTCGGAACTTCAACCGGAACGCTAAACCCCTTGGGACTCAGCTGCAGATAGAGGGGACGGAGGTAGGAGGGTGTATGAGCAGGTAAACCCCAAACCCCTTGAAACCTTACTCTTAACCGTAGACTTTCGAATTGCCCAGACCTGCTGTAACCCCTTCTCCCTTTACGTGTCCTGCTGCTGCCGCGCACCGTGGGCCGAGTGAACGACCAGAAGTTCCTGCTGGATTGGGCATGTAATGCCTGTGAACCCCCGTCCCTCCCCCCCCCCCCCCCCCCTCTCCCCATACCTCGTCCCGCCACTGCGGCCCACTGTGAGCCGAGTGAACGACCAGAAGTTCCTGCTGGACAATGCAGGTGCTGCCTGTGAACCCCTGAACCCCCCCACTCCCCCTCCCCACCCCTTCCCCATGCCTCATCCCATCACTGCAGCGCACTGTGGGTCGGGTGAACTACCAGAAATTCCTGCTGGACTATGCTCTGTCAGAGACGACTGTCGACTGGAACGACCGCCTGCTGCCAGCACAGGTGAGTGATGGATGAGCATGGAGCATGGTGCATGGGGCATGGTGCATGGTGCATGGGGCATGGGGCATGGGGCATTGGGCATGGGGCATGGGGCATGGGGCATGGGGCATGGGGCGTGGGGGGCGTGGGGGCGTGGGGCGTGGGGCGTGGGGCGTGGGGCGTGGGGCGTGGGGCGTGGGGCGTGGGGCGTGGGGCGTGGGGCGTGGGGCGTGGGGCGTGGGGCGTGGGGCGTGGGGCGTGGGGCATGGGGCATTTGGCGTGGGGCGTGGGGCATGGGGCGTGGGGGTTGGGGCATGGGGCATGGGGCATGGGGCATGGGGCGTGGGGCATGGGGCATGGGGCATGGGGCATGGGGCATGGGGCATGGTGCATGGGGCGTGGGGCATGGGGCGTGGGGCGTGGGGCATGGGGCATGGGGCATGGGGCATGGGGCATGGGGCGTGGGGCATGGGGCATGGGGCATGGGGCATGGGGCGTGGGGCATGGGGCATGGGGCATGGGGCATGGGGCGTGGGGCATGGGGCATGGGGCATGGGGCATGGGGCGTGGGGCATGGGGCATGGGGCATGGGACATGGGGCGTGGGGCGTTGGGCATGGGGCATTTGGCGTGGGGCATGGGGCATGGGGACTGGTATGCTGCTGGACTATGTTCTCTCAGAGACGACCGTCGACTGGAACGACCGGCTGCTGCCAGCACAGGTGAGTCATGGGGTATGGTACGTATGGTGCATTGTGTTGGGAGAATGGCCTTAGGTGTAGTGAAATTGTGCAGACTCGTGCTGGACTGTGCACTGGAAACGGTATGGCAGACGGGGCACGGTCGGTGGTGCACTACGCTCTGTCAGAGACGCCCCATGATGTGGTGTGATGTGGTATGATGTGGTGTGATGTGGCATGATGTGGTGTGATGTGGCATGATGTGGTGTGATGTGGTATGATGTGGTGTGATGTGGCATGATGTGGTGTGATGTGGTATGATGTGGTGTGATGTGGTGTGATGTGGTATGATGTGAGATCATGAGATGATGTGGTGTGATGTGGTATGATGTGGTATGATGATGTGGTGTGATGTGGCGTGATGTGGTATGATGTGGAATGATGTGGTGTGATGTGGTATGATGTGGTATGATGTGGTGTGATGTGGTGTGATGTGGGATGATGTGGGATGATGTAGTGTGATGTGGTATGATGTGGTGTGATGTGGTGTGATGTGGTATCATGTGGTGTGATCCGGTTTTCAGAGGATGGAGGAGGCGCGTCGAGCCCTAGCTGCCTGCAGCGCCAATGGAGTCGTCATGGCAAAGAAAGTGCCTCTGTGGAAGGTGAGTGAGAGGCCTCTACGGAAGGTGAGTGCAAGGCATCGTTCCATGGGCTGAGCCCTATCTGCCTGCATGCAGCGTCAAAGATAGTGCCTCTATGGAAGGTGAGAGTGCCTCTATGCAAGGTGAGAGTGCCTCTATGCAAGGTGAGAGTGCCTCTATGGAAGGTGAGTGCGAGTGCCTCTATGCAAGGTGAGAGTGCCTCTATGCAAGGTGAGAGTGCGTCTATGCAAGGTGAGAGTGCCTCTGTGCAAGGTGAGAGTGCCACTATGCAAGGTGAGAATTCCTCTATGCAAGGTGAGAGTGCCACTATGCAAGGTGAGAGTGCCTCTATGGAAGGTGAGAGTGCCTCTATGCAAGGTGAGAGTGCCTCTATGCAAGGTGAGAGTGCCTCAATGCAAGGTGAGAGTGCCTCTATGCAAGGTGAGAGTGCCTCTATGCAAGGTGAGAGTGCCTCTATGCAAGGTGAGAGTGCGTCTATGCAAGGTGAGAGTGCCTCTATGCAAGGTGAGAGTGCCTCTATGCAAGGTGAGAGTGCCTCTATGCAAGGTGAGAGTGCGTCTATGCAAGGTGAGAGTGCCTCCATGCAAGGTGAGAGTGCCTCCATGCAAGGTGAGAGTGCCTCCATGCAAGGTGAGAGTGCCTCCATGCAAGGTGAGAGTGCCTCCATGCAAGGTGAGAGTGCCTCCATGCAAGGTGAGAGTGCCTCCATGCAAGGTGAGAGTGCCTCCATGCAAGGTGAGAGTGCTGAATGAATGCTTTCCTAATCCACACTCCTCTTACCTCCTCCTCTCCAGTCGAGTACGATCTAAACCAACTCTGCTCTCTGCTCTCTCCTCTCTCCCTCCTCTCCTCACTTCCCCCTCACAGGGCTATGCGTGCGTGTGACTTATCCGACGATGACATCTACATGGTCCTCAAGTACCATCTAAACCGGCTGTGTCCCTCTGCTCTGCTCCGCCCTCTCCCCCCTACCCCCTCTCTCTCTATAGGGCTATGCGTGTGACGCCTCTGACGACGACATCTACTCGTTTCTCGAGTACGATCCGAACAGGCTGTGCCCTGACGACTGGCTAGCGACCCAGGCGCTCATTTTCAACCACAACTGCTTCTCCCTGCCGAAACGCCGCTGTATGGCTCGCACCAACCAGAGATGGGGCGAGGTACGTTGAATATAGACTGAGTACTTTGCATTGAACTACGATCGAGGTACTTGGACCAAGGTAACATGCACTCGGGCGGGCGCACATGGAATCTGGACCGAGGTGCATTGAACTTGGACGTGTTGTGACTGGCTAAAATCTCAGCTCTTATAGTCAACCTACAACCCCCACTCCCCTCCGTGTTCCAACTCCTGCCCTTCCCCTCAGGCTTTTTCTACCGCAGCTGCTCTCAAAGACGAGAATGTGCAGTGGAGCCTGCACTCCTGCAATATCTTGTCTCAACCCCCCCTTTCCCCCCCTCCTCCTCTCCCTCTTCCTTCTCCCCACAATCCCCACTCACCTCCCAGCCCTTGCCCTACCCCTCAGCTTTATTCCACCAAGCTGCTCTCAAGAAAGTGAACGTGCGGTGGAGCCTGCACTCCTGCAAGTCCTTCACCTGTTTCAACGCCCGAGTGCAGGGTGGCGGTCACTCACCCCCCAATCTCCAATCCGTTCCAGCACACCCCTCCCCCTGCAACCCCCCACCCACTCCTCTCTCCTCCCAGCCCAGCTCCTCCCCTTCCCTCAGCTCTATTCACCTAGGGCGCACTGAAGGGCGAGAACGTGCGGTGGAGCCTGCAGTGCTGCTAGTCTTTTACCTGTCTCAGCACCCGAGTGGTGGGCGTCTGTCTCGTGTCTCACCACCCTCCTCCCCACCTCCCCCCATCCTCTCCCTGCTCGCTCCCCCACCCCAGCCCCTGCCCTTCCCTCAGCTCTATTCACCCAGGACGCACTAAAGGACGAGAATGTGCGGTGGAGCCTGCACTCTTGCAAGTCTTTTACATGTCTCAACACGCGCGTGGTGGGCGACTGTCGCAACTGCTTCAACCTCACCCTCGAGAGGAACAGATGGCAGAGGGGGTTCAGGGGGTCTCTGCCCATCCCGATCGTCATCAGAATGAAGCACGGGTCTTTGAGGTGAGAGAGTGGGTGGCTACTTAGATTGTCTCAACACCCGCGTGGCAGGGAGCTGTCTTGATAGCATCAGCGGTACTCTGGAGAAGAGTCACTATGACGTTTGAGGCACCTCAAAAGTTGTCGTGATAGCATCAGCGGTACTCTGGAGAAGAGTCACTGACCGAGGGGGTTCCAAGGGTCTCTGCCCATCCCTATTGTCATCGGGATGAAGCAGGGGTCGTTGAGGTGAGAGTGGGTTGCTAGTAAGAGTGTCTCAAGTCCCGCGTGGCAGGGAGTTGTCGTAGTAACATCAGTGCTACTCTGGCGAACATTCACTGACTGAGGGGGTCCAGAGGGATGCTGCCCATCCCTATCGTCAATAGGATGAAGCAGGGGTCGTTGAGGTGAGAGTGGGTGGCTACTTATAGTCACTGACCACGGGAGCACCACAACATACTCTACGAGACACTAAGAGTGTCTTTCAACACCCGCGTGGCAGGGAGGTGGCCCTAATATTATCAGCGTTACTCTAGAGAAGAGTCACTGACCATCCCTGCCGGACCATCCCTGCCGGTGCCAAAGCGAAGAAGGCGTCGTCGAGGTGAGAGTAGGTCGTTGCTAAGAGTTTCTTAACACCGGTGTTAAGAAAACACACGGAAAAGTACGAGTCGATGGTAGGTTCAAACCTCACCCTCAACTTCGATACCTTCTTACACATTATCATCTTCTAAGTGTGCAGAACAACTTTCATGCATGCCTCCCATGAGTTGATTTAAAGGTCATTGGAATTCTACCCCTCCCCCCCCCCTCCCTTCCCGCCCCTCCCCTTTTTTTTTTGAAGACTCGGTCTGGATGCCGGTGGTGGCACGGGCACGTTCGCAGCGCACATGGCACTTTACAACGTGACGATTCTGACTACTGCTATGAATGTGGAGACAGTGGCGGGGAGAACAGGTGGGCTGCCGTACATGGAGACACTGGCGCAGAGGGGCCTCATCCCCCTCTGGTTACCACACAAGGTGCGTGTTGTGGGGAATGGGTTAACCGCACAATGCGTGCGGCATGTATGGTTACCACCACACAAGGCTTGCAAGATGTGGATTCACCATACAAGTAGACATAGTTGTTGTAGATGCAGGGGAGTTTTAGTGCGGTTGAAGTGGTGGAAATTGGTTGGAGTTCCAACCAATTGACTTTGGGGGGCGAAATTTCAGTCCAACCTCCTAAATCCCTTCAACCGCACACCACCACATCCCATCCAGAAAACCCACTCGCCCACCGCCCACCACCCATAACAAATTTGAACCTCCACCCAACTCCCCTCCCTCAACTGCACTGCACTCCTTCCCATCTACAATTTCCAACCCTTCCTTTTATGTGCTCCAAGCCCCTCACACAAACACCTCCCCGTCAATTACGCCAACCCCAAACTGCCGCTTGCCATTTCCGCGCGCCATTTCAGCAAGAGAAACCTGGACTTAGCTTACCCTTATCTATTTCCGCTAAGTTCAAGGCCCGCGCCCATTCCCCCCCCTCCCCCCCCCCCCCCTTTGCTGGCGAAATTCCCCGACGCAATATGCGGAAAAATCGCATGCGATATCTTTATATCGCATATCGCGTTATATCGCAGGGGAAACCCGCAATATAAATGTGATAATAACAATCGCGCGATATGCATCGCATCGCATCGCGTGATATAATTCTGGAAAATAAAATATCGCTATCGCATTTTTGCGATATATGCGATATTATATTGCGCGATGCGATATAACTATCTCTACGTACAAGGCATGGTAAGCAAACGTGCCACACAGTGGCATCATGGGGCGATACTCACTACCAAAATGAGTGTGGAGATGGTAGCATGGAGTAGAGCCGGACTCCATACATGGACACTTTGGCCCAGAGGGGCCTCATTCCCCTCTGGTTACTGCACAAGGTAGTGTGTGAGTGAGTGGTTACCACAGGTGGGTCTGTGGCATCATGGGGCGATGCTCCCTGCAGTAGTGAGCTTGGAGTTGGTGGCGGGGAGGGCAGGCGGACTGCCATACATGGACACTCTGGTGCAGAGAGGCCTCACCCCCCTCTGGCTACCACACAAGGTGCGTGTTGCGGCACGTGTGAGGGGTTACCACACAAGGTGCGCGTTGCGACACGTGTGGGGTTTCCAAAATGTATTGCATGTCTCACATGTCTGTACAGGCCTGCTTTTGAGTCGACTCAAAGCAAGTCTCACATGTCTGCACAGGTTGGTCACATGCCTACCTGCCTCTCTTCGACTGACAACGCCCCTGGTTTGACTGACAACGCCCCTGGTTTGACTGACAACGCCCGTGGTTCGACTGAGAACGCCCCTAGTTCGACTGAGAACACCCCTGGCTCGACTGACAACGCCCCTGGTTTGACTCACACTGCCCCTTGTTCGACTGACAACGCCCCTGGTTTGACTGACAACGCTTCTGGTTTGACTGACAACGCCCCTGGTTCGACTGACAATGCCTCTGGTTTGACTGGCAACGCCCCTGGTTCGACTGACAACGCCCCTGGTTTGACTGACAAAGCCCCTGCTTCGACTGACAACTCCCCTGGTTCGACTGACAACACCCCTGGCTTGACTGACAACACCCCTGGTTCGACTGACAATGCCTCTGGTTTGACTGGCAACACCCCTGGTTCGACTGACAATGCCCCTGGTTGGACTGACAACGCCCCTGGTTCGACTGACAACGCCTCTGGTTCAACTTACAACACCCTGGCTTGACTCACAACGCCCCTGGTTCGACTGACAACGCCCCTGCTTTGACTGGCAAAGCCCCTGCTTCGACTGACAACTCCCCTGGTTCGACTGACAACGCCCCTGGTGCTATCTCCCTCTCTTCCCAAGCTGGAATGCTATCTCCCTCTCTTCCCATGCTGGAATGGTATCTCCCTCTCTTCCCAAGCTGGAATGCTATCTCCCTCTCTTCCCAAGCTGGAATGCTATCTCCCTCTCTTCCCATGCTGGAATGCTATCTCCCTCTCTTCCCATACTGGAATGGTATCTCCCTCTCTTCTCTCACCCCATCAGACAGCATCTAACACCAGATTGTGCTGCCACACTCCTTTCCTATTCCCCTGTCCCCACCCCCCTCCCCTTGGCTTACACAGGCACGCTTACCTCTCTTTGACAACACTCTGGACTTGGTACACTGCGTGAACAGCATCAAATATATGCCAGTACTGGAGTTCGAGGAGCTCATCTTCGAGTGGGACCGCGTCCTTCGAGTGGGTGAGTTTCCTAGAAACACTTGCCACCAACGTTCTTGCGTGTCCTGCTTTGTGAAGCTACTGCGTGAACAGCATCAAATGTATGCCAGTACTGGAATTTGAGGAGCTCATCTTTGAGTGGGATAGGGTCCTTCGAGTGGGTGAGTCCACTAGAAATGCACGTCACCCCTTGAGTTCCGTTTGTACGCTTTTCACTCGCAAGTCACTGCGTGAACTGCATCAAATATATGCCAGTCCTGGAGTTCGAGGAGCTCATCTTCGAGTGGGATAGGGTCGTTCGAGTGAGTCTATCACAACCAGTCAAACAGAGAGCCTCCCCTGGGTTCACTACGTCAAGCGCAGCAGCGTTGAATATGTCCAAGTGGTGGAATTTGGGGAGGCAATATTTGTGTGGGACCTAGTCCTTGAGTCCATTAGAACCCCTTGTTGCTACCAGGATGTGTGGTTCTTGCTGTGCTTATGAAGCCACTGCTTCTGAGTCGGCACAAAAGCAGCATGCTCTGTTTCTGATGCCACTGTGTCGACATTATTTAGAACTCGAGGAGCTATTTTTTCAAGTGGTTCTTCGCGTTGGTAAGTTTAGAGGAACTGCATTTGCCGTGCGGTTATGTGCATTGCTGTAGCTGTCCCTCCCGTACTGGAATTCGAGTAGCATATATCGTAATATAACTTTTCTACCTTTTCATGCAAGTCAGCTGTTTGATGTTTCCATTATTAAGTGTAAGCTTCTATTTTTTTCACTTGCCAACCCCATGGGATTGAACTGCAGGTGGAGTCATGTGGTTTGAAATGTTCTACGCACCTCTTTCTGAGATGCCCATCTATATCGCAGTCATTGAGCAGCTACAGTACAAGAAGCTACACTGGAACATTACGCCCAAACCCGATAGTGGCGAGCGCAAGGGCATGCATGTGTACTTGAATTGTGTGATTGAAAAACCTGTCCGTCCTAGCAAGCAGGGCTTCAGAAGTCAGGACAAAATGCCCTGAAATGCTGTATAGAAGGGTGTTTTTTTAGGTCATCCTGTTTTTCCAGCTTTTGATTTTTCCTAGGGCTGCATTTTAGGGGTTCTCATTTGAGCAGGCCTGAAATATGTGTTGGGAAAAGTTGTGACTAAGGGATACAGAATTAGGGATGTACTTATCAGAATTTAGAAGTGAATAATAGATAGAGTGAGAGTACACACAAATATACCTAAGTGTTGTACTCTCTAAGAGGCGACCCTATACAGTCTATACAAGCTAGACAAATACACATGTTTGACACACCCCCCTAGACTGCATAGGGGAATGCCCTAAACAAGCAGCTCAGGGCGGCACTACTAGTCCAACCTCTGAGACAAGGGTCTAAGAGACCAGTCAGAAGGAGTACAAACAAGGCAAGAACAAGAGCAGGGCGGCACTACTAGTCCAGCCACTGGGAGAGGACACAAGTCCAGTCTGAGTATACGTATAAAGGACAGTACAAAGTCAAGGTCCTAGCAAGTGAGAGGCTACAGGAACTAGACCAAGCTGTACACAGTGCCGCTGATGATCTTTAGGCGCAAGCGCCTTCGTAAAGATATCAGCCGTGTTGGCACCTGAGGCCAAGTGTACTACGCGAGCCTGACGTCGCTGCTGTAGCTCACGCAGGAGGAAGTACCGCAGCTGAATGTGCTTTGCTCTGCCCTCGAGTCGAGGCTCCTGACACAGGAGGATCATGGCCCTGTTGTCAGCGAACAGGACCGGGGCAGAGCTAGGCCGCTCACCTAAGTCAGTGAGCAAGAAGGTCAGCCAGCGGAGCTCCTGTGCCGCCATGGCACCAGCGTAGATCTCAGCCTCACAGCTGGACTGCGCAACAGACGAGGAGCGGGTAGCTCTCCACGAGATGGCAGCTGAGCCAAGGCTGAAGCAGTAGCCCTGGGTAGACCTGAGTGTCTCAGCGTCGTCTGCCCACGAAGCGTCTGTGTGTCCAGTAAGGACCACTGGCCTGCGTCCTCCTAGCACTAACCCCATGCCCGATGTACTAGCAAGATAACGCAGAACCCTCTTAGCGGCAGACCAGTGCTGCGGTCGGTGTCTGCCTGTGGCCACAAAGCGAGCCAGGATGCTGAGAGGGTATGCGAGATCTGGGCGAGTGCAAGTCATCAGGTACATGAGGCAACCCACCAGCTCTGCGTAGGGGCCGCTGGGCTCTACCAACTCCTCAGGCACTGGAGCGGAGAGTCTGTGGTCTACAGGCAGAGGGGTGGGCTGTGCAGAGGAGAACTGAAGGCTGAACCTCTGAAGGACCTGGCGCACCAAGTGTGACTGAGTCAGGGTGATGGTGCGCGCAGCTCTGTCCCTGGAGATCTGCAAGCCAAGGTAACGGCGCAGTTCTCCAAGGTCAGTGCACATGTGTCTCTTCAGCAGCTCTGCCTTCACGGAGGCCAGTGCGTCCCTGTCCGCTGTGGCAAAGACTAGGTCGTCGACGTAAACAAGGATGTAGAACGGAGTCTGGCCAGCACGAACGAAGAGTGAAGGGTCTGCGGAAGACGGAAAGAACTGCAGGTCAGCAAGCGTAGCACGGAGAGTGTCGTGCCACTCACGGGGAGCCTGTCGCAGGCCGTAGACGGGGCGCCGCAGGAGCCACTGGGTCCCAGGAGGGAAGGTGCCAGTGAAGCCCTGAGGGCGACGCAGGTAGACCTGCTCGTGTAGGCTGCCCTGAAGGAAGGCAGTGGAGAAGTCGAGGGAGTGAAGCTCGTAGTCACGCTGAGCAGCTAGGTGTAACAGAACCCGAAGAGTAGTCATCTTCGGGGTCGGAGCGAAGGTCTGGAAGAAGTCCACCCCCTCGCGCTGACTGAAGCCTCTAGCCACATAGCGCGCCTTGAAGACAGGCGGCTCTCCAGGAGGGCGCTTCACCTTGAAGAGCCAGCGGCCATCGACTACGTTCACCCCAGGTGGGGGAACTGCGTCGACGAAGGTGCCGGTGGATCTCCAAGATGCCATCTCCTGCTCCATGGCAGCTATCCACTGCGAGGCCCAGGGTCCCGAAGTCGCCTCAGCGTAAGTGCGAGGGGTCGGGATGTCGAAAGCGTCTGGGTCACCCTCAGGGACTAGCATCATGGAACAGAGATGGGGAGCAGCCTCGGACAGGAAAGCAAGCTCGAACTGGCGGTCCTCCAGGACGTCACTGCCAAGGGCAGGAGCACCCCCGACAGACGGAGGACAGGCAGGGTCAGAGACCAGAGCGGAGGCGTAGTCAAGGGCGGCGGGTAGAGGCGAAGTCAGCGACAGCAGCGACAAGAGCGTCAAGGCACGAGGCCGGAACAGACGGGTCGGTAACGAGAGAGGCAAGGACCCGAGGAACAAGAGGACGAGCGGCACGAAGGTAGTCAGACAGCGGGGGTGGTGCAACCACAAGGAGGACGGAGGAGGCGACGGCAGAAGGGGAGGACGAGACGCGTGGGAACGAAGCAACATAGGGTGGAGCGCAAGACATGCGAGGCAGGACGAGCACGGGAGGGACGGTGAGACCAGACGTGCGACGGAGGATTCGGGTCAGGAGACAGAGGAGGGGACACAGGAGGGGAACGAGGGGGGAGACGGGCCGGGGACGAGTCCGGCGGAGGGAAGACAGGGCCGTAGACAGGAAGAGGAGGAGACGGCCGGGGAGAACCGACGCAGGGTCAGGAGACAGAAGGCCGAGCAGGCGAAGGGCTGACACCGGCGGGGACTGCTGCTGCGGCGGCACAACGGCGACACCGGGACCGCAAGCTGCTCCTCGGCTACCACCGGCACCCTCCACACCAGCACCCCCAGAGGGACACCCCCAGGGCTACCGGGACGAGCACCCCAGAGTCAGCGAACGGGTGCTGCGACGGCGGCGGCGGTGGGGGGGGGGGACTGGGGAGGGGACGCCAGGGAGAGGCGGCCGGCGAGGACTAAACAGGAGGGCCACCAGAGTCAGAAGACTCCTCAACTGGGTCCACCGACGGAAGGGGGGTGACGTGGGACACACCAGAGGGGGCGGGACGGGGAGGAGGAGGAGGAGGGGCAGGGACCACCGGGGAAGGAGTGACCAGGAACAGGGGGGGGGTAACCGGGGGACCACGGTGGGGGAAGCGACGGTAGTAGGAGACAGACTCGTCAAAGGTGACGTCACGAGAGTGAAAGAAGCGGTGAGACGGCGGGTGGTAAAAGTGCCAGTCAAACGCGTCAAGGGGAAACCGAGGAAGACGCAGGGAAGGGTGCGGGCAGTGAGCTTGTCCGTGCCGGAGGCACGGACGTGAGCAAGGCAGCCCCAGACGTGGAACGCAGACGCGTCACCAGGAGACCCAGTCCAAAGACGGGTCGGCGAAACCTGCGGCTGCTGAGGGTGCGGCCACAAGTTAAGCTGGTGAGAAGCGTAGCGCACAGCGAACGGCCACAGAAAATGGGGTGCACCGGCATGGATCATGGAGGTGCGAGCCACCTCCATGACCAAACCGATGCGTCGCTCAGCGACCCCATTCTGCTGTGGGGAGTCCGGTAGGGTGAACGTCTGGGTGATGCCCTCCGCACGACAAAAGCGACCAAGGACACCTGAGGCAAACTCGCCACCACGGTCTGAGTGAAGACGCAAGACAGGGAGACCGCGGTGGACACGCGCAGAGACAAGCCAGGGGATGAGAGCGCCAGGCACGTCGGCCTTGCGCTCCAGGGGAAAGACTGTGGTGTAACGAGTGAAGTCGTCGACAAGCACAAGGAAGTAGCGCTCTCGACGCGGCCCAGGGACGGGGGCGGGGCCCCAGACGTCCAGGTGCAGGGTCTGCAGCGGCGCGGCGGTAGGGGGAAACGAGGAGGAGTGAGGGGCACGGCGAAGCCGACCCTCGACACAAGGCGTGCAAGGTGGGGCTGGGGAGGAGGGAAACGCGGGGAGAGAACCTGGGAGACCAAGGACAAGACCGTGCTGGGACATGTGACGCAGACGCGGGAGCGCAGGGTGACCTAGGCGGTGGTGCCAAAGGAGGTCGGGTGAGTGAGGGACCGACAGGAGCAGGCAGCAGCAACCTGGGTAGACGCAGCCACCTGAGGCGCCCAGCCGGGGGGGTCACGGTGTCCAGAGTGAACAGGCCGGACACCGGGTCCCGGGGGAACGTGGACAGGGGGGCACCAGTGGCGGCCTCGGTACAGACAGCATACCGCTCGTGACCAGGGAACGTAGTGGTGACGCCAAGGTCCTGGAGGCAGCCGACACCAACTAGGTTCCTGGAGAACGAGGGGATATGCAGACCTGTGAGAGCCCGAAGGAACCGCCGGACAGGGAAGGGTGGTGGAACTGCGGGCGACTACCGGACCGCCGGAGGGGTCAGCAAGAGAAACGGCAGCAGGAACAGGAAGCGGCGTCAGGGTGGTGGAGTCGCGGAAGAAACACCGAGAAGCGCCAGAGTCCAAGGTGAAGGAAAGCGAAGCAGAGGCGTCTGGCGACGGAACGACGGCGGAAGCACCAAGACTACACAAAGCAGGGGATCCTACGCCTGACGCAGCAGGGGAGGCTAAGCTAGGCACACCTACACTAGGCAACAGTGAGTAATAAGCGGAAGCACACTAGAGTCATCAGCATACATCACATGCAGAGCAGAAACAATGGCATCCATGTCCATATCAAAATCTGAATCTTACGACTAAGCAAACTGTGCCAGTCCGGGAGGTCTGGCGACGGGCCGAAGCGCTGACGAAAGAGGTCGTCCAGGCGACGAAAACAGCGGGGAGTGGAGTGACCGATCTTACCGCAAACGAAGCCGCGGCGAGGACCGGTCTGGATCTGGTACTGACAACGCCCGCCGCCAGAGCCACCACTCGGCACACCACCACGCGCCCGGCCACCGCCAGCGCCGGGCCACCCGGGCGGGAGGACACTCGTCTGCCGCGTCTGCGACGGCTGCTGCGGCTGCTGCGAAGGCTGCGACTGCGGCGGCTGCTGCGGCTGCTGCAACTGCAGGGGCGGCGGCTCAGCTGGACTGGGCAGGGTCCCCTCGTCCGCTCCAGCACCAGACGACCCGACCCCACCACTACCCCCTCCCGCACCCCCGCCGCGCCGCCGCCGCGCCCAACCTTGGGGCGGCGGCCCTTCCCCGAACGAAACTGCGCTGCAGCAGCAGTCTCAGCCACTGCGGCAGAGCCGTCGGAGAAGGTACACTGAGCGGGGGCACAACCCTGAAAGATAGGGACCGGCACGACACCGCTCGCCTGGGCGATGGAGCGGTGA